GGTGGCACTACGTTGCAGAATGCTGTCTGTCTGGCCCTGTCTGTGAGCTGTCAGAGGGGAGCTCTGTGAGGGCATCCGAGCAATGGAGCACCATGAGGAATTGCTGAAGACCTGCTTTCTACCTTCTTTTGTCCTTTCACATGGAAATCAAGGGTCAGGAACCCCTAAGGCTGCCCACTGCAAGCTGCCTGGGCCCCACTGAGACTGCAGGTCCCCACTTCTCTGATGTGTGGAGCCTTTAGTTTACTTATTGAATTTTTAACTTTTATCCCTGGGAGTACTTAGGCAGTAGCTTCCAACCTTTTGTAAGTGAAGAATCCCTTTTAGTATAAAAACCTTTATTATATTACATATCTCATAGCAATAATTTTTGGATTCTCTGCTTTGAGAAACTCCTAGTGACTAGAAGCTACCATGAGTTGAGTAACTTTTAAATTCAGAAGTTTGTGCCATAGCCTCCTGCCCAGCAACAGCGCCTGGTGCTAAGCCTGGGGCCCTGGTTGGGATTGCTTTCCTAGAGGGTCTTCACATCCTGCGGGAAGCTGAGCTGGCTGGGTCATGTCTGGTGCCCTGTAGTTGTCCTGTATGGGCTGGTTTCAGCCAGAGGCCACCTCGCCCACCTATCTTTTCACCCTCGCCACACCATCCTGGCCCAGGACAGGCTGCGGGGGTGTTACCTAAGCCTCCAGGTGTCTTTTCTAGGGCACTGCCCACTCTCTTCTGAAGAAAACTGCATGCATCTCACAGAGTTCCCCTCCAGAGAGAAGAGCATTGAGGGTGCATCTCCCTAGTGATGAGACGGAGCGACGTGGGAGGGGTAAAGCAGGAAGGCCTTCCAGCTTCATTGTTGCTTTATCCCTCCATCGCAGGCCTCCCCGGCCTTCTCCCCACCGGGCCCTGCAGGGCGGCGAGTGGACACAGGCTGCCCTGTCCTGGCCCGCCATCCCTGCCCGGGGTGGTATCCCCCGGCTGTCCTTGCCTGTCCATATCACAGTGTTTCTGTTCTCTTCATCTGAAGGGTCACCGAGTTTTCTAATTCCTCCACACCCAGAGCAAACTATTTTAAAACTTAGTTTGATATTTAAAATCAGAATGATATGTAGACATAGTTTAAAGATGAAATAATTCCCCAGAAGTAACTTAATCCGCAGATTTTTTTCCCCCTACATGTACCTCAGTATTTCCAAAGAGGTCTAAACAACAGATTGTGATTCCTGGCAACCTCCTCCTCTCCCTGCTCTCCAGAGCCCCGTTTTTCGTGTTATTCTTTGATTTCAAACCTCATGGAAGGTGAGGATGGTGCACTTTTGCCCCATCCCCCCTACACTCTTCTTGTCTCCCTGTTGTCTCTTTTGGTCCGTTCGGCTCCGTCAGTATGCAGTGCTGGGACGGTCCCCTAATGCCGCTCGCTCATAGCTGAGCCACGTAGAATACTGTGATAACTGCAATTGTCTCCTAGGGCATTTTGTTTTCTCCTGGAGTTGTTTTTGCAGTTTTTTAAATGCACTTGTCATTATCCCCTCCAAACATACAGAGTTGGGTGAATCTGCTTTCCGAGGCCGAAGGTGATCTGCAGGTTTACCTTCGGAAGGAGTTCCTCATGTGCCTTTGGACATGCAGCAGGCCGGGTTGCTCTGGGGCTCCCTGCACAGCTGTTGTCTGGGAGTCTTTCTTCTCCATTGTCCTGGCAATGCCCCTTTGCCTTTCTCTTGGATCTCGTGAATTTTCTTTCTTGGTTTATTTCCAGAATTTGATGGGGTACTTTCTGTAGGAAGTTTCCAAAAAGAGGCGCACAAGGTGTGCCAACTTTTTGAGACCTTGCGTGTCTGGGAAAATGCCCTCCTTCGACTCTCACAGTTTACAGTTTGTCTGAATATGGATTTCTAAATTAAAGATAGTTTTCCCTAAAAAATTTGAAGGCTTCCATTGCCTTTAGGCAGAAGGGGGTTGAGAAAGATGCTCTTCCTGATTCTTCTTTCTTTCTTTCTTTCTTTTTTTTTTTTGAGACAGTGTCTTGCTTTGTTGCCAGGCGCCAGGCTGGAGTGCAGTGGCACAATCTCAGCTCACCGCAACCTCCGCCTCCTGGGTTCAAGCAATTCTCCTGCCTCAGAACCAAGTAGCTGGGACTACAGGTGCGCGCCACCACGCCCAGCTAATTTTTGAATTTTTTAGTAGAGACGGGGTTTCACCATGTTGGCCAGGATGGTCTCGATCTCTTGACCTCGTGATCTGCCCGCTTTGGCCTCCCAAAGTGCTGGGATTACAGGCGTGAGCCACCGTGCCTGGCCTGCTCTTCTGATTCTTGATTCTGTGTATGAAAGAGTACCGGAGTGGATTTTCGGTTTGTTTTTTGTTTTGTCATGTCTGGGCGCGTGTAGGATATTCTCTGTGCCTTTGTTCCGAAGTTCCTTGAAGATCTGTCTTCTTGGGTCCACACTTTCTATGCAGGGTATGTTGAGGACTCATGTAAGCTGGAATCTCAGATCCTTCTGGTCTTGGACATGTTTTTAAATTAATTCTTTCATTTCTTCCATTTTCCTCTTCTCTCTCTCTAGGACGGCAGTTATTTGGTTTTTAGTAACCTGGATTGGTGCTCTGTATTTTTGATCTAATAGCCTGTAACTGCTGTGTTGTTTTTAGGTTTTGGGATATGTCTTCATTTTGACCTTTTAACCTTTTTATTGGATTTTGTTTCTATTTTCATTTTGAATTTCTTAGGACCTTTTTTAAAAATAGACTTTAGAGCAGTTTTAGGTTCACAGCAAAACTGAATGGAATGTCCAGAGACTTCCTCCATACCCTCTGCTCCACACACCCACAGCCTCTCCCGCTACTGGGAATCCTGTACATTTGATACGGTTGACAATTGACACATAATATTGGTATTCAAAGTGAGTATTCTTTTTTTAATGGCACAATATACTTATTTCATAGATACATCTTTTTACCTCATTTGAAGATATTAATTTTAAAAAACTTTTTCTATATTGTTTCACCTCTACCATTTGTAAATTTACTTTTACTTTTTCTGCTTGTGTCCAGCTTACCTGGAAAGCAGAGCCTATGGCAAAACCTTGTGTGCTTCTGTGGTAGGAGGGTGTGCCAGCCTTGGGGAGGGAGGCTGGCAGGAGGGATTCTTGGTACACAGTGAGGCGGGGTGCCTACGGCGGGCAGTGCCCAGCATTGAGTGAAGTCTTTGGTTTCACATGTGGGGCTGGAGTGTGTCACGAGCTCCCAATCCTCCAGACAGTGCTGGAAAGGAGTTTGGGGTGGAGGATGTGTCTCCTATCAGTGCTCATTGTGGGGGCACCCCTGAAGCCCATGCCTTCAGGTCTCTTCTCAGCTCTGCAGGAGCCTCTTTGACTTCTGTTGGAGGTGCTGCTCTGGGAGCTGTTGGGGATGTTGGCAGGATTCATATGGCAGCTAGCATGTGATCCACCACATCTTTCTGGAACTAAAGGCACGGCTGTGCCTACTGACCCTGGTCCAGAGACCTGCGTCCCTGCTTCCAGAAAAGAAGTCACCTAGCTGATGGAGCTGGGGAGAGGACGCAGTATGAACTGGGGCCCAGCTCTTCCTGACACTTCTAATTAATCCCCTTGTTTTGGACTCTGTGTTTCCCATTTCCAGAGGTGAATGGTAGTTCTAATTCCTGAGACTTTCTGGACTCTCACTGAGTATGTCATCACGCTTCATCTCCACTTTCCAGCTTAGCCTTTAGCTCCTTTGCTGCTAGTTACCCCTTGTCCACTGGCTCTTCTGACTTTTCCAAGATTCTGTTCCTGTTGTCCTAGTAAAGCAAAATGTGTGTCTCGTCAGCCATTTAGTGAAGGTCTGGCTTTTCAAGATTCCTTTCCATCAAAACAAGAGAAATGATCTCTCTTGTTCTTCCCATATCCAGGAACAGCTGCTTCGAACTGAGACTTCTGCCATGTTGTAATAGAGGGGAGTGTGGCAGGGAAGCCCTCTGACCTGCACAACCTGTTGTTCTAGCCCCGGAGACTGCAGGGTGCGTGGGATGTTCAGGCAAAGGAGTTTACCATCCAGGCTGGGAGCTACTGGGCACCGAGTCAGAGGAACCCCTGAGCCACCTTCCCAGGGTTGACTGCAGAGGTGGGTAGAGCCACTGTGTCAGACCGCAGAGAAGCCTCAAATCTGGAGTCTGGAAGGAACGTGGAGTTCTCCCAGTTAGTAACTTGCTTTGGACTTTGGACAAGCAAGTTACTTGCTCTCCGCACTTCGGTTTCTTCCAGAATCTCGGGGTTCGAGTCTGTGCTTCCATCTCATTCTGTGGCTTGTGATGTTCTCCCTGTGACATCTTCACTGAGGAGTGTGCAGTTAGAATTAAAAGCAATAATACCTTCGGTGTTTCTTGTAGTAGCCAGGCCCTGTGTGGTCAGCCTGGACTGTGAGAAAGCCTTGTTACCCTTCGTGTTGTGTTGAACACGCTGCTCTCGGCTGCTCTCAGAACCAGCCTTAACTCTGCTTTTGTTTGATCGACTTAAGCAGATTGCAATTTTGTGGTCATGATCACCTTGGAGGCTTTCCTTTCTTGGGGGGAGTATATCTGCAGTTTCTCCAGCCTCTCTGGTGCCCTTTAGGGGCCTGAGCTGGCCTCAGAGCAGTTGGACTAGGGTAAATTTTCTGCTCTCTGAACCCCGGGCTGAGATGGGGTTTTCCCAGTGCCTTGCCCCTTAGTGCATGCGAATGCAGTATAGGATATCAGTTTCAGAAGCCGTCCCCTGTTGACTGTTAGTTACTGCTGTCTACAACGTCCCCCTTTTCCTACCATGTTCTCGGCCAGAGGGGAGTAGAAAATCTCTTACTGCTTGCTGTGGCCTTGTAAACTGCAGTGAATATCTCCAAACCTTCTGTTTTGCTTCCATCGTTGCAGGCTTGTGCGTGTATCTTTGTGGGGTGTATGTGTGCGTGGGGGGTGTGTGTGTGTGTGTGGTACGTGGGGGTGTGTGTGGTGTGTATGTGTGTGTGTGGGGTGCCTCTGTGGTGTGTATGTGGGGTGTGTGTGGTGTGGGGTGTGTGTGTGAAGTGATAGCAGATGCTTAGTATGTATAGGATCTGTTCTTTCCCTCGCTGACTCTCGGTTGAAATAGAACCCTACTTTGTCCTCGATGTTCAGTAACGTTACGCCTGTGGCTTCCAGAAAGAGCCTGTGGCTTCCAGAAAGAGCCTCTCCCTTCCTGGTTCTTGCTCTGACATTTTGAGGACATTTTGGGGAGGGGGTGAGACGACAGTGACCGTGGAAGAGCAGAACTGGCCGGCCCTGCAGGTGGGAGGCTGCTCCTGCTGGCGGCATCTCCGACTTGCCGCGGCCGCGATGTCTCCCGCCCCGCTCCGATTGCAGCGTAGCGGGTAGACATGGAGGGCTTTCGGCATCGTGAGAGTGGCCAGTGTGCGCGTCCTTGCCCATCAGGCGGGGGGGCTGTGGGGGAGGAGAGGAGGCAGTGGAGGGAACAAGGGGTTCTTCAGGGTTGCCATGAGAACCAGGGATCCGGGGATTGGGCAGCAGAGGGCCCCCGCCGGGCGTTGGGGCGTGGCCGCGTCACATGGGTTTGGTCCTGGGATTCCTGTTGTGCTCTAGGACCGGGCACTGCTCCGCCGTCCTCCCGCTCCTCGGGAGCGCCCGGTCCCTCGGCGGCTGAAGATTGCGGCTGGCTCCGCGGAGGGGCCTCCGGGCACCCGCGCGGTGATGGCGCTGGGAGCCCCCAGACGCACTCGGGCGGCGGCGCGGCATCCCACCCTCGCCCGGATGGCGTCCCCGGAGGCGGCGCTGGCCCGCTTTCCGTGCTAGCGCGTTCGCCTGGCTCGCGGCGGCCTCGGGCCCGGGTCGGCTTTCAGCGCCGCAGGCCCCTGTCCGGGGCGGAGCCGTGGAGGAGCGGCCCGCCCGGCTCCCGGCGCTGTCCATGCGGAGCGCTGTCCACGCGCCGGGCACTGCGGGGGCCGGGCCCCGAAGCCCTCCCAGGGCCGGCGGCGCGCACGCAGCGACCCCGTGCGGCGGGTGCTGCCGCCCGCTCTCCAGGTACTCAGGTGGGCTCCGCCGCGGGCTCGGGGGGCGGCGGGCGGGACGGCGGGCTGCGGAGGTCCGGCCGCGGCGGACAGGGCCGGGGAGGGAGGCCGGGAGGTCTTGCCGCGCTGCCCCGCGTCCGCCTGCCGCGGGCTCGCTGCAGTCCGGATTCCGAGCCTCGTTGCCGCCAGCCATAGGACAGTATTATGTAACCATTTTTAAATCTTAATTGTTTAATATTATGTAACGAGTCGTAACGGTACCCTCGGAAACCCGTGACGGCGACTCGCGGGAACCTCGCCCGCTCCTTCCTCGCCAGGCGCTGGGCAGCGAGTGTGGGAACCGGCTTGGGAGACGAGCGGGTCCGGGCACCCGGGCTACTGCACGGGCTTTCTCGGAAAAACGGAATCCCGGCGCCTGCCGGACTTCGCTGAAACCTGCTGGCATATGGTCGCGTATACGAGCCGTGGGTAAACGCGTCTCGTCACGCCGCCTCTTTCTCCTTGAACACCTTCTCTCTGGAAGGGGCATGTCAGACAATGAATGCGAATTGAGCGGCGAAGGTGTGGGCATGGGGTTCGCGTTCTTGATGGAGTTCAAAAAATTGTGCGTACGAACACGTAGGACTTCCTAGCCCTTGATCTTCAGAAAAACAATCGATCACCTGTTCCCCACGCCAGTCGCCTCCTTGGTCGGCTGCCATTTGTCTGTTGATGGCACGGTCCCTGCCAGGGTGCTGGGGGGACCTCGTCTGCGGAGCCGGCACACAGGTGGCTAGGGGCGGGGGAGACTGCAGTCTAAACCCGCAAAGCTCTCCTTCCCAGCCCAGCGAGGGGAAGCGTGGGTGTCTTTCCTCATTGTTCTTTTTAAGTCTGAAAGGCAGGACTGCCGGGATTATGACGTGCTGGCGGCCAGGGCCTCGGGTGCTGCCTGGAGTCTCCTGCCTGTCTCTGCTCCTTTGCTGTCGGCATCGGGGGTGGGAGCTGGGGCCATGCATTCTTCCTTTGGCCTGAGTGGGAACAGGGGAGGTGGTGGGCAGGGGCAGAAAGGTTTCTTGGGATTTCCTTTCTCTCTGTCACTCCGGAGAAGAAAGGTGGTAGAGAACACTTATTTCAGATTGAGGTTCTTGGCAGCCACGCACTAAAGGACGGTTTTTAATTGTAGGTTGGGGTGTGAGTGCAGTGTGGTCTGTCCCCTCCTGCTCTTTGTGCTACCTGCCCTTGTACCTGGACCTGTGAATCAGGGATACTAGTTACTACCTTGTAGGATTGAGAATGGTGCATACTAACTGCTGAGGAACACAGTCAATGAAGTTATGATAATTGCACGATGGGGATGAAGGGGGTGAGTGAAGTTCCAGATCGGTAGATTAAAATGTGAGTTATTTTTAGCGCCTCCTAAGGATTTCCATCACCAGTTGCTCCTCCAGCCATCACGTAATTACCACTCCAGAACTGAGCTTCCAGACTTCCAGAGAACACTGCATCTTTTGAATTTCGGAGGTTAGATTCCAAAATTTGCATTTTTAGGCTACAGGCTAAATTCACTGACACTTGGGTTCCCACAAAAGCCAGGCTGCTTCTTGGAGAATGTACTTGTGACTTGTAAAAATGTCTTAGGAAACTCGTTTGGACTTGAATGCTTTTACCTTCCTTTCAGACTTGGGAGTGGGGTGGGGGCTGCATTCTCATAATTCACAGGAGGAAGAATGTGTAGGAGAGACCAGGGTTTTTAAGGTGTGACCTCTGAACCACCTACGTCAGAGCCGATGGGCTCTTGGTGCTTATCCCCAGGCCTCAGCTCTGAGCTATGAAACTGACTTTCTGGGCTTGGGACCTAGAATTCTTTGTCTTTGCGAAGGCTGCCAGGTGATCCTTAGAAGCATAAAGTGTGAGAACTGATGTAGTGTTCTGGGCCTTGTAACCAGTGGGGCTTCTGGTGATTCAGTTAGAAAGTTGGCAGCTCCTGTCTGAAGGGTCAAGGGCAGAACAGGGGCTGGCCTTGAGTCAGTCTGAGCCCTGTGGACCCTGGGAGGTCTGGGAGCACATGTCAAAAGAGGCCTTTGTGTGGGCCTTTTGTTTCTGTCTTTTCTGTCAGTTGAAAAAATAAGTTGGCACATCTGGTAGTGGGCATGGCCGTGTTGCATCATGTGCAGAGCTGCTGTGATGGACGGTATTTTCTCATATTTCACAAAATTCACTGGCTGAGCATGATCCACAAAGGCCTAACCCATCCCCAACCCTGGAACCCTTTCCATGACGGTTTATTCTGATTCGTTCAGGAGACGTATTTCCTTCTGTTTTTATGTGGAGTGGGCTTTGTTCCTCTCACGGCTGGCAGAGGTTAAATTAAAGGGGCCAGAAAACGCTGAGCTGTGGCTAGGATTGCGGTGGGTGGGGGCAGTAGGCATTTATTGGCCCCATTTGCTGCTTTCTTCCCTTTTTTTCTCTGCCTCCTTGGTTGGGGGGGTGGTGGGGAGTCCAGGACTATCTCTCCAGGGACATTTCTGGTCTGTGGAGACTTGCCTGCAGGTACCTGGGAGAGTCTGGGCTGAACTCTAGATGCCTCAGGCACAAATCTGATACTAATGAGGGAAGAAAATTCTAAATGTGTAAATGGTACCTGTAAGTCAGCTACAAATAATTCCTTTCCTTTCCTGTGCTGTGTCTGGGAGCCAGCTTCTGAGTGCCGTCAAGGTAGTCCCGGCGGTTTGAGACTGGCCATGTGCCCTTGCCAACAATGGCCGTGCAGCTCTGAGCAGTTGTTCAGCATTCAAGTGGGATGAGAATGGCAAGGAGTCCTCTGGGTGGCTTTTGACAAGGCACCCCACCTGTTATTCACTCAACAGGTGTTTGAGGAGCCAGTCTGTCTCGGTCATCTGTTCCTGCCTTGCTTAGATGGAAAATAATGAAATCTGTGTAGGAGGGGAGGGTGAGTCCAGGAATGCCCTGGGTTGACTGAACAATAAAATAGCGATGTTAATGTATTTTGCTTATTTATTTTCTTAAAGGGAGCTGACACATTTCAGTTCCGATACAAGTTAAATATTAACAATGTCTGGAAATACCACTACTTAAACTTTAATATGCACGTGAATCTCCTGGGGCTGGTGATAAAATGCAGCTTCTAATTCCGTTGGTCTGGGGTGGGACCTGAGGTTTTGGGTTTCTGACCAGCTCCCACGCATTATGCTTGCAGTTAGTCAGTGGCCCACACTTGGTGCAGTAAGGTTTTAATACATTTTCCCCCATGTTAGCTTTAATGTCTTTTTCTCTAGAAATTCTCTGGAGAGGACACTACATGGTAAGAACTATACTTAATCTAAGAATTTTTGTACCAAGCATTTTCTGGTGATTAGCCCTACGTTGTTATAAATGACATTCTAAAATGTGTCCATACTTTATTCCAGTGGCAAATATTTGTAGTGTCCTGCTTTGACATTTGTCTGTGGATTTTTGTTGTTGTTGTTATTGTTTTAGAGATGAAGTTTCACCATGTTGGTCAGGCTGGTCTCGAACTCCTGATCTCAGGCGATCCACTCACCTTGGCCTCTCAAAGTCCTGGGATTACAGGTGTGAGCCACCGTGCCAGTCAGATTCCTGTGGATTTCATTTAGTGGTTTCTCTTTTGTTTATGATGATAGAACACTTAGAAATTTTGAAACCTTTAGAATTTGAAGCAGATTTAGAAGGCCCACCTGCATTCCTTTTAAGAATGTAGGAATTGTATCGGCTTTGAGCTTTTGCATGCTAACAACCCACTTTTTCCGAGATCCCTGCTCAGTGCCTTCATGTCTCAGCATCACAGCCTGGAACCAAGAAGGCCTCCACGCCGTAGAGAGAAGCAACGAAGATCTCTCGGTGGGGCTGCTGGCTGGGGCCCTTGCCTGCTTCTGTCAGCATGAGCCTGACCCTATCCTTGGAGGTAGGATTGGGTTGTCCTATTATTCCTGTCAAGGTAGGTGGCATGAAAGCAGCAGCCTTGTTTGTACCTGCAAGTCCGTTCTGTGTATAAGGCTCCACTGTGTGGATCACCTCTGCTTAATACCACCTTTTGAAAAATTCTACAGCCAGAGTTCTTCCTTGGACAGGAAAGACACTTCTGAATTTTTGTATTTGTGCCTGCCCTAATGGTCAGTAAATGCATTGATGGACTCCATGGGACTTTGGACCCCTTCCTTTGTCATCTTTTAACAGTCTTCCTCGGCTGGTGGTGATGTTGGGCAACTTAAAGCTTCCTGAAGGTTGTAGAGTCTACAGGAGCTAATAATGTATTGCCAAGTAAGTGAGGAAACATTGGATTAGAGAAAGTTGTTTTCTTGATGGCACAACGTTTCAGGAAGTTTTGTGTGCCACGATGTGCTGTGACACTTTAGGAGGAAGAAGTCTAGGCTATGGTGGTTCCAAATTTTGGGGGGTCAGAAGGTGGGGCTAGAACCCTTCTTGTGCTGATTATTTCATTGGATGAGTTTGTTTTTTATTTTTATTTTCATTTTACTTTAAGTTCTGGGATACCTGTGCAGAACATGCAAGTTTGCTCCATAGGTATACGTGTGCCATGGTGGTTTACTGCACCCATCAACCCGTCATCTAGGTTTTAAGCCCCACAAGCATTAGCTATTTGTCCTGATGCTTTCCCCCCCCTCACCCCCTCCCCTCCCTCACAGGCCCTGCTGTGTGATGTTCCCATTCCTGTGTCCATGTGTTCTCATTGTTCAACTTCCACTTATCAGTGAGAACATGCAGTGTTTGGCTTTCTGTTCCTGTGTTAGTCTGCTGAGGATGATGGTTTCCAGCTTCATCCATGTGCCTGCAAAGGACATGATATATCATGTCATTTTATGGCTGTATAGTATTCCATGGTATGTATGTACCATATTTTCTTAATCCAGTCTGCCACGGATGGGCATTTGGGTTAGTTCCATTTCTTTGATATTGTAAATAGTGCCGCAGTCAACATATGTGTGCATGTATCTTTATGGGCTAGTTTTTTTCGTAGACTCTTCTCTTAAAAAAAAAAAAGCTTTATTGAGATATAATCAACATACCATACAAATTACCCATTTAAATTTGAAGTGTATAATTTAATTAGTATATTTACAGATATGTGCACTTGTGTGTGTGTGTGTGTGTGTGTGTGTGTGTGTATACACATTGCTGTGGTCTGAATGTATCACCCAAAATTTGTGTGTTGAAACGTAATGGCCAATGTGATGGTATTAAGAGTTGGGGCCTTTAGGGGGTGTTTTAAGTCATAGGGGTGGACATAGATGGAATTAGGGCCCTTTTAAAAGGGTCTGAGGGGAAATGGGTTTGCTGTCTTCTGCTTTTCTACCTTGTGAGGATACAGCATTTGCTCCCTTCTGGAAGGTGTGGCAGCAAGGCACCATCTTGGAAGCAGAGGGAGGCCCTCACCAGACACTGAACCCCAGTGCCTTGCTCTTGGACCTCCTCTCCTCCAGAGCCATGAGAGATACATTTCTGTTATTTATAAATTACCTAACCTGTGGATTTTGTTATAGCAGCACAGACAGGCAGTAATTGGTACTGAGAGTGGGGTGTTGTATGGCAGGTACTTAAAAGAAAAGTGGAATTGGGCAATAGATAGAGACTGGAACAGTTTGGAAGTGTTTGTTAGAAAAAACTGAGATTTCCGTGAATAGAGCATTAAGAATTATTCTGGCGAGGGCCCAGAAGAAGAGGAGAGCTGTGGAGAGAACCTCTGCCTTCTTAGAAATTTCCAAGTGGTTGTGATCAGAATGCTGGTAGAATTACAGGCAATAAGGCCCATTCTGATGAGGTCATAGATATAAATAATGAATATCTATCTTATTGGAAACTGGAGGACA